CTGGCACTGTTTCCAGACACTCAGCTGGGAGGTAAGTGACCATAAATCCTTTTCTAGAGGCGGCCTGGCTCCGCGCACCAACGCACCTAACAGTGGCGTGCACGCCCACCAGCAACCACGCCCTGAGAAGACAAGTGGAAAAGAAGTGGTGGGTGGGGGGAGGTTGAATGGGGGGCGCTGTTTGTGCTCCGGCTCCTGAGGCCGGCAGGCCAACCCCCCTGAGGTGGTGTCTGCGTCCGGAGACTGCTCCCAGCTCGCCCCACCCCTCCCCCTTCCTGGCTCCAGCCTCTCCCCCGCCTGAGCTGCTGCAGCCATTTCTTGTCACTGCTGAACAATAGGCCTTGCTAGCAGCTGGCAGCTTGGCCACCCTGCCCGGGGAGGGGCGGGAGGGAGGGACAGAGGGAGCGAGGGGGGCCTCCTGGCGGCCTGTGGGCTGGGGCAGCCAGCCTGCTGCAAGGGGGTTCCCAGCTCCAGGGACAATGCCAGCCTGTGCGCCTCCCTGGTCGTGCTCACAGCTGTGTCGTGTGCTGCTCAGTGAGTTGTAACCCTGGGGACCGTTACTCCTGATTCAAAGACACCTTCCCAAGAGGAGCAACAGGACATTAAAAGCAAAGATGGAAGAGGCAGCAGGGACTCTGGGACCCCCGATCGCCATAGACTTGGAGCAGTGTCCTCAGTAAGTAGAGAGCTGACCATGATGACGACAAGCATGGTGTTAGGAAATCGGAGCGTGGTGCTCCATCCGATCCGAGAGCTTAGTAAAACCACCAGGCAGGACCCCAGGCCCGGATACGGGCGGAGGCCCCGGGGTTCTAACTTGCCCCCAGGGAGAGCCACAACAGGAAGCACTGGCATGTAGTTGTCCTGCCTCCTTTCACCACCGAGAGGGACAGTGACTGGCCCAAGGTCACACAGAGCCAAGATGAGAGAACCGAGGGGGGCACTGAGCCCTGTAGGACTCTCCCAACTCCTGGCTCATGTGGTCCCCGGGGGCATCTTCCTCCTCTTGTCCCTCCGGGCAATGCCTGGATGTTGTTCTTCACACCCGGAGAAAGAAGAGAGGTGTGAAGTGACTTGGTCAAGGTCAGGCAAGTGAAAGGGGTAAAGCCCCCACAGGGTCTCCTGCCTCTCACCTTGCTCAGCCTCCTGTCAGCCTGTCTGGGGGCCCCGAGGAACCAGGAGCAGTAACAAGCCACAGGGAGCGCGTGCTGATGTGGTTGTATGAGTCAGAGAGGCCCGGCCCACAGGCCTAGCTCTGCCGCTTGCCAGCTGTGTGACTTTTGGGAAGCTGCTTAAACTCTTTGAGCCTGGACTCGTTCCTCTGTAAAGCAGGGGTGGTGAGATGAAAGTCCAAGGACAGGGTGAGGAGGCCACTTAGTGGTGTTTGGCACATGCGTGCTCAGTGAGTTGTAACCCTGGGGACTGTTACTCCTGATTCAAAGATACCTTCCCAAGGGGAGCAACAGGACATTAAAAGCAAAGATGGAAGAGGCAGTAGGGACTCTGGGCCCCCCGATTGCCACAGACTTGGAGCAGTGTCCTCAGGGAGTAAAGAGCTGACCGTGATGACGACAAGCATGGTGTTAGGAGATGGTGTGCCCACGAAACGTGCCTCCAGCGCTAAAACACCTAGCCTTGCTTTAAGGTTCAACCTAAAACACTACACTGAGCCCCAGCCGGTTTGGCTCAGTGGATAGAGCATCCGCCTGCGGACTGAAGGGTCCCAGGTTCGATTCCGGTCAAGGGCATGTACCTGGCTTTCGGGCACATCCCCAGTAGGGGACATGCAGGAGACAGCTGATCGATGTTTCTCTCTCAAATATATTTTAAAAAATAAAAATAAAACACTACACTGAGTGGAGACCTGGATTTTCACCTTGCCCACTGTCATGTTAGCTGTAGCTGCCCTTTAAACTCCTCCTCTTCCTCTTCCTCCTCATTCTCCTCCTCCACTTTCCCCTCTTCCTCCCCCTCCCCCCTCCTCCTCCTCCTCTTCCTTCTCCTTCTCCTTCTTCTTCTATGTTTTGGGGCTGTTCTAAGTGCTTTACATGTATGGACTCATTTAATCCCCGCCATTGCACAAGATCAGCCCAATCTTACCCCATTTTATAGACGAGAAAGCTAAGGCACAGAGAGGCTCTGGAATTTGCACGAGGCTCCAGGATGTAAATGGTGGAGCAAGGACTCAGACTCAGGCAGTCTGGCTGCAGAGCCAGACTCGGAAACTCAGTGCTATAAACTGTGTCTTGCCTTAGACAACAATCACTTCCCCTCTCTGTGTCTCAGCTTTCACATCTAAAATGGGGCTCTTTGACCATTAGTTCCACTCTAGGCCCCTTTCTTGGTCCTAAGTTCTGTGAAGATGTCCACTCTTACGTGACTTTTGTGACTGCTCTACCTCTCTGGCCCTCACACCATCCCCTCCAACACCTGAACTCTATCCACTTTCCTGGGGTGTACTTTCCAGTCTATATAAGCCCCTGAGCACAGGGACTGTGGCCTGGCCCAGCTATGGCAAGACACTGTCTGTCCTAAACATTGGTTTGCAAAGATCAGGGTTTGGCAAACATTTTCGGTTAAGGGCTGAAGAGCAAATACTTTAGATTTTGAGATCAAGTCTTGTGTTCTCTGTGCCATTGTAACAGGGCAACAGCCATAGAGAATACACAAATCCATAAACAGGACCATGTTCTAATAAAACTCTACTTACAAAATCAGGTAGTGGGCAGGATTTGGCCCAAGGGCCATAGTTTGCTGACCTGTGGCAAAGATGACTATCACAGAGTTTCTGCTCTTTGGAGCAGCAGGGGGTAGCAGAGGAAATGAGCAGTGTGCAGCTAACCTAAGACACGGCAGGACTTGCTTGTTGGGGTCCAACCCCAGCAGGTCCAGGGGTCCCCAAAGGTGTGGACGGAGTCGGCGAAGAAGGAATGACACGGAGACAGCGTTCAGTTGATCAGCAGCCTAGTCAGGACCTCTAGCCAGGATCTCCAGCCAAAGTTCTGGTTGGGATCTCCAGTGAAGTTCTGGTTAGGATCTGATCAGGATCTGATGTACTTGCTAAGTGTGTTAGCAGAGCTGCAGAGCCCTCCAGAAGAGAGCAGGTGGGTTCTGACTCGGGGATGTGGATGGGCACTTGAGCTTGGCTTGGAGTGATGGGTAGAAGTTCTACAAGCAGAAGTGGGGACATACACCAGGGCGTGCAGTGTGCTGGGGATGGGGCATCCGGAGGGTCAGGATGGGAGTGGACCTGGGACCCAGACAATGAAGACTGACTTCTGTGCTTTTCTCATGCCCTAGAGAAGGGTGAACTACAGGGTTCTTCTCTTCTTTTAATTCAACAAATGTTCTGAGTGCCTACTATGTGCTAGGCATAGGTGTAGGCACGAGTAGACAATATCTGCAACTTTAATTTTTATTGCATTGTCAACATTTGCACAGAGATTTAGGTCTGACTTTATCTTGGCCTCATAAGCAGAGAAATTGAACGAGTTGCTAAAGTTATGTCTAATGAACAGTGGCTGCTCCTATTCCAGAGTCCACTCTACTGAGCAACAGACTAATTCCTAGCTGCCTAATGAGTATCTCTACTGGGATGTCTGGAAAGACTCATCCTGCTCTTCTCTCCGTATTAGTTTGCGAGGGCTGCTGTGACAGAGTGGCTTCAACAACAGAAATGTGTTGTTCTGGAGGCTAGAAGTCAGAGATTGAGATGTCAGCAGGGCTGGTTCCTATGAGGGCTGTAAGAAAAAAATCTGTCCCAGGCCCCTAGCTTCTGGGGTCTGCTGGCAGTCTTGGGTGTTCCTGGGCCAGTAGACATATTACCTGGATCTCTGTGCTCATCTTCACATGGCGCTGTCCTTGTGGGTTTGTGTTGATATCTGCTCCCCTTTTAAGGACAATAGTCATATTGAGCAGGGCCCGCCCATCCTAACAACCTCATTTTAATTTGATTATCTCTGTAAATACCCTATTTCCAAATTAAGATCCCATTTTGAGGTACTGGGGGTTGGAACTTCAACATAACTTGTCTTGAGGACACAGTTCAACCCGTAACACCTCTCCCAACACCCCTCCCCCATATTCCATTGCTGATTGAATGGAACCTTCATTTCCCAGGCCTCTCATCTCCAGGCCACTCCTTTATCTCTTCACCAGCTGGTATGGTGGCCAGAATTGCCTGGACCAGGCAAGGCTAGATGCCACAGGCCCATCACAGATGTCCCGGCTGCCAAGGAGGTTGCATTGGATCTCCTCCATTAACTTCTGGAAGGTGGTGGGGGAGGCCAGGCTGTATAAACCAGGGGGACTGCTTGGAAGATGTGCAACAAATGCCTGAACCACTGGTGCTTTGGGATGTCAACTCGAGCATCAAGGACGTACTGGCGTAGTTAGGAAGCAGGAGCACTAACCAGAGGCCCCCTCTTGGGAAGCTGTGGTGGAGATGGAAAGTAGGTGGTGGGGAGTGGCGAACATTTGGGAACAGAATGTGGCTTGGATTGGAGAACAGGTTGGGGGAGCGGGGAGGGAGGGGGATTAGGCCTGGGGGAAGGGTGGTGAGGCCAAACAGAGGCCCAGAGGGGAAGAACAGGCCCCATGGGGGAAACGAGGCTGTTTTCAAACACACAAAGTCTGGTAGATAGTTAAGTCCAGAGCTCAGGAGAGAGGCAGGACCTTAAAACAAGTTTTCAGACACCTGAGTGGACTAGATTCCCTTGGGAAAGCCAGCAGGAGTGGAGACTCTACAACACTCTAGTCACTGCCCAAACCCTGGGAAAAAAACTATTCAGAGTTGGAGGGAGAGAAGTGAGAATGAGGAGTCTGAGAAGGGTCCCAGAGGCAAGGAGAGGAGAGAAAGGTCCTCCTGAGACCACGGCGGTGAGGGAAGGTCATAGGCACCAGCTCTGGCAGAGGCCACGGGGGATGGTTCCTTAACACGAGCAAATTGTGTCCTGAGCTGGTTCTGCTCCGGTCAGAAGGAAGCTGCACACGCACCTCTGTCACCTTTTAACTGTTTATTGTATAATATAAAACTACAAAAGTAAGACTGCTCATTTCCATGTACATTTCATCTGTCCAGTTGTTTCGATTACAGCCCAAACCTACATGTGAATGCAGCCATCTGGGTTCCGATGTAACGTCTGTAATATTGCATAGGAAAGGCACAGCTCTCAGGTCTGTGGGGGAAAGGTTACACTTCCTCTTTAGACAAAATCCTCCTTAAAAACTATGCACCAAATGTCACTATGTACATCGGTTCCAAAATCTTGGTTGTTTGCTTGTATGGACTGCACTTCTCTTCCAAACTTATTATCCCCAAAAGATGTCCAAGATTTTTATTGGCTTTGTCTGCAATAGCATTTGATCCTGGCTAATTTTCAAGAAACATTTCGACTCATTCTTAGAAGCACTGAAGACAATGGTACACAAGCAGGAACATACACCTCGCCATTCACCGGCAATTACAGGAAGTTAACCATTTACAGCCAGAATAGGTCCAATATGCTCTTTTCAGTATTTTCATAAAATGTAGGAAGGCCCAATTTGTAACAGCAAGGTTTTTAAATTAAGACAATTCATGGAAAATATCAATCACTACACTAGGTAGAGTCTTTTTTTTTTTTTTTTAACATCTGTCATTTAAGAAGGCTGCCCAACGGTATTCATAATTCATTGTTTACCACAAAGGTGGTTAATAAATTTAAGCTTTAAAAACAATCTGTAAGTTGATACTTTGGCTCTTTGGAGCTTATTTATGTAAGAAATTTTCCTTGATTGACCTCAGGGCAGTTGGGACACGCCAAGGGGCTATGGCAATAAAAAGCTCAATTGATAAAGACACTCGAGGTGTAGAGGAGGCTCTGGCTAGTTCTCACCTTGTGGTGTGAACAAGGGTGTCGGTGTGGTTGCCCCTTCTGTTGGAGAGAGAAAGTGCTACTAAAAAACATTTAAAAAGATCAACCCTTTGATGCTTGATTTTCTTTAAAAATTTGGAGGTATTGAAACATCCCTCACCCATACCTTTTGCATATTTCAAATAGACCCACATTGGAGAAGAGAGTACAAATGAATGTGGACTGGGCAAATGATGAGACGACCCGGGGGTCTGGCTCGGACCCCCGTTAATACAGATTGACATTCCTACCAGAGAATACATTCCTACCATACATTCTGCACATGTTACGATCCAGATGTTGTTAGAGCTCCACAGTAAAATAAATATATTTACACAGAAAAAAAGGAATAAATAACTTATGGAAAAAAAATCACTTCAAATTCAAAGCTCTTAATATTCTGCTCTCATCTTGTCACTTCATTGCACATCACTGTCCATGGGTGTCCTCTCCCAGTCACACCCAGCATGTCTTTCTCACGAAGGCACCTCGAACTGCCTGCCTGACTCTGAATGCCACGCGATGTCCTCTGCACGGGGGAGGCACGCCCAGTCCGCACTCAGACTGGGACGTGCAGATCGCACACGGCTCACAGTCTTCCCTGCTGGGACATCGCTTTGGGAACACTTGATGGTTTTGTTCTTTTTAAACCGCTCCACTCATTTCCCAGGTCTTCCTCAGAAGACCGTGAATATCGAGCGTTTATGGCAAGGGTGTCCAGAGCTGACAAGCATTTGCCTGATGTTGGGGTGGTTTTTTTTGTTTGTTTGTTTTGATTTTCAAGACCAGCCTTACAAATACTAGAGTCCGAGACCACGTTCGGGCAACACTTCACTGTGCTTATTTGAACTGTTGCCCAACATATGGGATTTGTTTAAACACACGATTTGCTAATCCAACCAAAGTACAGTTGTTCTAAGTTACTGTAAATCAGCTTTTAACAATGGCAAATCAACCGCCTTACCCTGTTATTGTTCGGAATAACCAACACTATTGTATATGTATACATATGTATACGTGTGCAGCATGTGGTGAGTTTACCAGGTCCTCCAGTTATCGAAAGCGTGGCATCTGGGCTGGCTTGTTCTCCACAGAAAAAGGAAGCTCTTAAAATGGACAGGCACAGCAACACTGGAAGCATTTACAACAACCCTCCCCTCACCTATATATGGTCCCTGGTCCCATCACAGGAAATGACACATCTGCAGCAGTACAAGGTGTCCTGGTGGAGGTTGCTTGTAGGAGAACAAGAGCAATTTGATCTGTTTCCCACTGCTCTCCTGAGTTGATAATTAGCCTTTAAAAACACATTCAAGTGGGGGAGGGGAGGGGAGGGGAAATAAATTAGAATGTAGATTTAATCATACCATACACGATGAATCTTTTGATTAGATGAGCAGTTCCTTCATCACAAATGTATTTGTTTTGCCATGTGCATTATAAAAATAAAACTATCTATGGCTTGTTTAAAGTGCCATCTTATAAAGCTGTCTTTTTTTAATTGGCCAGAAAGACTCAATTTTATCCATGGCAAGAAGTGAGCAGAATTGGTGACTGAATATTGACAAATGACTAACAACAAAGACAACAACAACAACACAAATCCCATAATTTAAAAATTCTTAAATAAATATAAAAGTTATTCCTAAAGAAGCCACCTGCATTTCAAAAATATAGGATGTAACCAGCGACAGTACCATTGGAAGAAAGAAACAACTGAAAGGAAAAGGCCATAAACAATGTCGGCAACAAGCATGATACATTGCAAACATTTCAAAATTAAATGTACACCGTTAGGAATAAAAAGCTACTTCTCAAGTGTCCTGGTTTGGGGGTAGGGGGTAAGGGGTGGAGGTGGCAAGGGGAGGAGGAGGAGGAGGAGGAGGAACATGCATAGAAAGTCCTGTGTATTTGGGTAAAACAGCCTTGTGAAGTGTAGTTAAAGCAGTTGATTCAAGAAAGCAACCAGATTGGAAGCTGTGACATAATGGGACCAACTCCTGGTTCAAGGGCCAGGGCTGTTTCAAGAGTGCATCCGGGGCTGGGCCGAGGTGGGCCGAGGTGGGCCGAGCTCACGGTGGTGATCATGAAGATACCATTTTCAGCATTTAGCAACAGAGGGAAGGGAAGCTGGAAAAGACAACTAGGCAACATGATGGACGCCTTCTGGGGGAGATTTTTTTCTCTAGGAGCCCTAAGCATTGCAAAAGGGTTTAGTTCCAAGTAGAGGTTGGTTGCTTTTCATAAAATTTTGTTCACATGTAAAATTTCAGGTCATCATAAAAATTATGCCAAAAAGGAAAGATTTGGGTTTTTTTTTAAAAAAAAAAAATAAAAACAATTAAAAGCGCAAACTTGGCATAAATACAGTGAGTATTCGGTAGTCTTCCCCCTCAAGAGAGGGAGCTAGAGAGAACCATCACTTAAACCCCGAGCTCCATGGCCACCTCCCGCCAACTGCTTAATGCAAGTTTGATGAGCAGATGTGGCTCTGGCTTTGGAAGTCACAGTGCTGGCAGGTGTTCATGCCAGGAGGCCGGTGCTTGTGAAATTTGGGTGTGATATCGCCTGGCCCTTTCTTAAAGCGCTGTGTGTGTGTGTGTGTGTGTGTGTATGTGTGTGTGTGTGTGTGTGTGTGTGTCTGCATTTGGGGGACGTCAACTGCGGATTGATTTGATCCAATTTTCTCTTTGCACCAAACACATATAAAACATTACAATGCTATAAAAGTACAAGTGCAACTTGTACATCTGAAGTTTGCAGGAACTATGTGAGCAAATCCTATCAAAATAGCTATCTCATATGTATAAACAGCATTTGTTTTTAGAAAAACAATATCATAAACTGCAGAATCTGTACAAAAATATAAAATAAATTTGGGCAGCAGTTTCTAAACAGCCATGTAAATGCAACACTTACGAGGAGTTAATGCCTCTAAAAAGGCTGAATTGCCAAGTCAACCTATACAGGGCGAAAATGCCGGAAAAGGTACTGAGATTATCTAAATAATATATATATATATACTTTTTCTTTGTTTTACCTCTTGCAATAAAACTTATAGAAAAAATAGACAAATATGCACATGCAATTTACAGCTTTCCCATCTTATTCTTTGTGCTTCACTTGAACTGTTCATTTTTGCCATTCGACATAGCAACATTGTCTTCAAATGTATTCTTTCCTATTCCAGGGTAGTAGGTCTCTGAGGAACCACTCAAAAACGTGTATTGAAAGTGGTCATACTTGGATGAAGGCACTCCAACTCTGCTCAAAGCAAAAACTAGTGTGATCCTTTTGTAAAACGTTCTTTTTCTCTGAAAAAGGCAAGCAAGGGTGCATGCACAGTGCGGAGCGCTGTCGGGGCGCGGGGACACTCGCAGGGTCCGGGCGGGCACGGTCGCGGGGGGGTGGGGAGGGGGGGTCCCCGGGATTAGGACCCCACGAGCACCTCCATGATGTGGTCCAGCTCCGTGAGGTCCATTTTGAAAGGCTGACTCGGGGCGACGGGCTGGCTGCTGTAGGGGGCGAGGGTCTTGAGGAGGTCGTCCGCCGACACGGGGGCCATCTTCGAGGCTGTGCCCGAGGCGGAGGTGCAGGGGTCGAAATCATACATGGACGTGTCAATGTCGGCGAACAGGATGTCGTCCAGGGTCAGGTCCGTCAGAAACCCCGTGGACGTGGTGACCTCGAAATTCCCAGGCAGAGAGTCCATCAGTTTGGGGTCGTCGGGGCGGCCGTCGGGGAGCCCCTCGGGTTTCGGGGCGCTGGGCTCGCTGGCGCCCCCTTTGGAGCTGTCAGTGGCGGCCCCGGCGGCGGAGGTAGATGTGGGACAGAGCTCCTCGATCTCGTCCAAGGCGGAGGAGAAGCTGTCCTTCTCGGGCAGGAGGGCCGGGGAGGGGAGTCTGGTGGGGGCCGCGGGCAGCGGGGCGGCCGGGGAAGTGCAAAAAGTGTCGTCGTCGTCG